AAGACCTCCAGCAGTCAGAAATTTAAAAATAAAGTTAAAATACAATGCATGTATAAATAAATAAATAAATACATAGTTGAACAATCTTTATTTGCAGTAATTCATATGTGCGTCTGTAATGGGAAGTAATCCCTGCAAATAAATCTCTGCTAAAAATCTCATATAGACAGAAACGTAAGTCCCGACTAAATTTAAAAAGAGGAAACATGAAGAGAATGATACACAGAAGTCAGCGATAGCAAGCTACGAGAAGGAATAAAGTCAAAATGGATTAAAACCTAAACTAAGGCAACACTACTCCGCTATCCTAGTTCTAAGCCTTTATAAATTCTAATGACAGAAACGTATAAAAAGTAGAGGTCATGGAAATTACTACAAAGGCAATTAAAAAGAATACAAAGATGCTACACCCTATGGTTGTTGGCCCACACTACTCGGCTACCCTGGTCTTAAGTCTCCATACTTTCCTATCAGAGGTCATGTCCTCATTAAGGGATAAATCCTTCAAATCAGATCTCAAGCAGTCTACCCACTTCCTCCTTGGTCATCCTCTTCTTCTGGCACCGTCGACTGTAATCGACTCTACCCTCCTGACCGCATCGATGGTTGTCACCTAAGGACATGCCCAAACCACCGTAGTCTTCCCTCCCTCAATTTTTCGGATACAAACACCACCCCCAAGGACATCTTAATAGCAGTGTTTGGTGTCATATCCCACAGAGTCCTACCACATGCCCATCGAAGCATTCTCATTTCTGCGGCCTCCATTCTCCTTACGTGATCCTTCTTGATTACCCAACATTCTGATCCATACAGTAGTGTTGGTCTTATTGCCCTTCTATAAAATTTCCCTTGAGTTTTAGAGGCACCTTCTTGTCACACAAAACTCCAGTAGCAGCCCTCCACTTTAGCCATCCCACCTTTATACGGTGTGTAACGTCATCATCTACACCCATCTTTATATCATAGACCCTAGGTACTTGAAACAATCCTTTGAGAGGAGAACGTGTCCTTCGATGCATACTTCTATATCTTCATCGTTTTGGTTCCCACTGAATTTTGAACATAAATACTCTGTCTTTTCAATATTGATCCTTAGACCTTTTTCTTCCAAAGCAGTCTTCCAGGTAGCAAGTCTACTATTTAGCTCATTTTTGGTTTCAACAACTAGGACAATGTCGTCAGCAAAAAGCATACACCATGGAACACCGTCTGGTGTCGCACAACAGATGTCGTCCATAATCAAGGAGAAGATGTAAAGGCTAAGAGCTGACCCCTGTTGGAGTCCGATTTCACCGGGAAAGCCTCGGTGTCGCCAACTGTAGTCCTGACGTATGTAGTAGATCTACAATACATATCACGAATAGCCCGGGTATAAGCAGTTGGGATCTGTCTCGTTTCCAAGGTCTTTCATATGTATCGCGGGGTACGCTATTATACGCCTTTTCAAGGTCAATGGACGCCATGTGAAGATCTCTATTTTTTCCCTATATTTCTCCATAAGCCGTCAAAGTAGATGAATCGCCTCCGTAGTAGACCTGTCTGGCATAAAGCCTAATTGGTTTTCCGAAACCCTAGTAACCTTTTTTAACCTAGCCTATCACTCTTTCCCATAGCTTCGTGGTATGACTGAGTAGTTTAATACCTTTGTAGTTACCACAACGTTGGGGATCTTCTTTATTCTTATAGATTGTATCACCGTAGACTCTATTCACTCCTCTGGCATCTTGGCAGACTCTAAAATAATATTAAAGATATTGTCAACCACTTTACTCCCTCTTCTCCTAGAGTCAACCACACAGTGATAGGAATTTGATCTAGACCGACAACTTTGTCCCTCCCCATCTTTCTAAGGGCCATTTTGACTTCCTCAATTCCAATCCTACTTGTAGGCAGTCATTGGTCGTAGTATGGTGATCGACTGACCCATCAACGTTACTATCTCTACAGGGAGAGGCACCATTATTAAATAAGCCAAAGAAGTAAATATCCCAAACCCTCTTAATATCATTATTTCATTTCCAATTTATCTGTTTAATGTCATGGATTATTTATTTATACAATTCAATAATCAAAATGAGAATCCATCAAATGGTCTCGGTAGTTAGAGGGAGTGTTGTTTTTCTTGGAAATCTGGATTTGAGTACTTGTGTCTGTAGGATGTGTGTGTGTTATCTATGATTAAGAAATATTCTAAATAGATACTACCTTATAATCTTCCCAAACTATTAAAAAATCAAAATGAAATATTTTTTACATTTACAATTTTATTATAATTTTGCAATTCAACATGATATAAAATTACGCAATATGAATCTCACCTCTACAGATGGTGAGTTCTATGAAAGAATGAGAGAGCATTAGAAGAATTGCAAAATTTATTTACCATTAAAAATCCTGCTATATGGATGACATCTTCGGTGATATGTTGTATCTCAACATATCATAATGATACACTATCTCAATATTTTACCGAGGAAGATGTTATGGGTGCTCTGCGATCAATGAGCCCTATTAAGGGTTCGAGAGAAGATGGACTTGGTGAAATCTTCTATCAATAGTTCTGGGACATTTTAGTAAAGATGTTTCGTTCTATTGCATTGTTACGTTGAAAGGAGACTACTCGACTACTCGATAGCAGAGATTAATCATACTCATATTGTCTTAATCAAAGACGGATTCAAGATTGAACTATGGGGGGTAAGTTGTTTAACTTTGAAATAAATAGGGTCTTTAAAATTGAATAAACCATAAAATTTAAAGGAGTTATGGCTTACTTTCGTTAATTTTAAAATTGAAGGTCTTAAAGAGTAATTAAACACACAAAATTTGAAGTCAAAAATTTTATTTTAAAACTCCTAAAATATTCATAAACTAGTAAATTTTGGGAGAGGCAAGAGTTTGATTGTAATGATTTCAAAAATATTAGTGACCTAAAACCAATTAAGCCATCAAAGTTGGGGAGGCAATTGCCCCTCCCACCTCTGACCTCCCACGCAGATTCATCACTTGTCTTAATCCCGAAGGTGAATAATCCGAGATCTATGACTCAATTTAGACCAATCCGTCTATGTAACGTCCTTTTCAAAATCATTTTTAAGATGTCAGTTAATAGACTTTGGAATGTCCTCCATCTGTGCATTGATGAGGCACAAAGTATCTTTATTCTTGGAAGACTGACGTAAGTTAATATCATTATCGCCTACGAGATCATTCATTCTTATAAAACGTTGGGACGAATATATTGAATCCTTTGCTCTTAAACTCGACATGAGCAAGATATACGACCGAGTGAAATAACAATTTATAGAGGCAATAACGCTTAAGATGGGCTTCAATGTTGCCTGGATAAATTGTGTTATGTCATGCGTTTTCACAATATCATACTCAGTTGTTGTAAATGGAGTGGTTAGTAACGAATGCTACTTATCGTGAGGTTTTCGCCAAAGTGATCCCGTCAGTCCATATTTATTTCTACAATGCAGTGAAGGACTTTCTTCATTATATCGAATGGCAGCAAGTTTGGAAAACTACAAAGAGCGAGAATCATTAGAAGTACTCCCTTTATTACTCATCTTTTCTCCGCAGATTACAACTTTAATTTTGGGAAAGCATCGACTTTTGAAGCTAACACTTTGAAGTCTCTCCTGCTATCATATGCTACGTGTTCGGGTCAAATTGTTAACTTTGAGAAATCAAGTGTTTTTCAGCCACAGTACAAGTGAAGACATCGAGAAAGAATTCTGCAGTGTTTTAGGTGTTGCAAAAAACAACAACCCAAACAATTATCTCGAACTACCCCACAATAGTTAGAAGGGACAAGAAGCAAGCATTCCTTAAACTAAAGAAAAATTCTCAGCAAAAGTCCATAATTGGTGTGTTAAATATCTTTCCTTCGGAAGTAAAGAAGTATTTATCAAATTCGTATTCCAAACTATTCCGTTGTTCATCATGTCGTGTTTTCTCTTACCCAATTCCTTTTGCAAAGAATTTGAAGCTATTGTTGGTGGCAAAAGAATGCTACAGAAAAAAGGGAACACATTGGTGTAGTTGGGTTGAACTTTACAAGTTGAAAGATTCGGGTGGAATTCCATTCCTTGACTTTGAAAATTTTAATATTGCACTACTGGCAAAACAAGGCTGATACCTTCTCAAAGTCCCGGATTCCTTGATTGCCAGAGTTCTCCGACCTAAATATTTTCCCTCGACGACCTTCACAAGTGGTTATAAACTTGTACTTAATGAGCATATTATGGAGATTCCTACTGGAAACATCTTCCAATACATATAGAATGTACCTTGTCTTTCTAAGGTAAAAAATTCTTCAATGGAAATTTGCAAAAAAAATTGTACCAACTATGCTAAACTTATATATCAACATGTATCTACAAACCATATTTGTCATAGATGTGGGTTGGACGTGGAGAACATTTCTCACGTTAGCAGAGAAAAACATATAACATTCTCTCGTCTTTAAATAAAATAACATTCGTGATCATTTATATAAAAAAATAGTTTAGTGATCAAAATAAGAATGATAATAGTACTATAACAAACGGGTGTAATTTAAAATTATAATATTTTAAAACTTTCCTTCCTTTTGTGTTTCCTCGTAATTGGATATTAAAAAAAATTTTTATACAAATACTCTCTATTGGCATATTTGAATTTAGATTTGTATGGATTTATATATTTAACAGATGATTTAAATTTAAAATTGATATTTTTACGGATTCAAATAATTAACAAATAATAATATTTAATTTGATTTGATTAATTTAATTCGATCGAGGACCAAATTAACCATTAAAACATCCCTACATATTACGGTTTCGGGCTGGTTGTGAACCACAAATTCTTTGAGCTTTATTTAAAATCTCCCATGGCTAAATCCAGTGATCAAAGCAACAAGAAACATGGAGCCGACCCAAGATTGAACCCAATCATTGATTTCAAGAATTAGCTTTTACACGGTTGACAACATGCAATCCTGCTAAAAGATAACAGCTGAATTTGTATTGGCGCTATTCTCCTACTTATCCATCTCACACATTATATCTATGGCCATAAAACATTTCAGAATACTAAAACCAGAACCACAACTTTAACCGAGACTGAAGCAGAGAGCTGCTGCCCGAGAAGAATGAAAGGCATAACGCTGAGGGAGAGCGGGTTGGTTGTTCATTCACTCTTGCCCCCATGTCCTAAACCTCCCAGCTCTTTCACCTCTCGTTTGCTTTCTTACAATCTTAATTCTCTCCCCAAGAAACAATCTTCCAAGCTATCTTCTCCACACCAAAGTCTTCTTTTCTCCAGGTACCCTTGCATTTCCTTTTCAATCCATTTAAAGGTCACTGCTTTAGAGCTTTTTCCATGTATTTATAAGATATTTTTATACGTAGGTGTTACAGAAATTGTGTTTTAAGAACATGTGAGGAGTGGTTTGGGGACCTTCTGCAAAAGGTCACTAAACAGCAGCATGGCCTGGTAAGAATTCTTAAATCAAGTTCCTTGCTTCTTTGTGAGGTTCTTTTTGCAATATAGTTCTCTTGGCTTACAAGTTGTTTACATGTATTTATTATCTGATTGCTTCGTTTTCGACCAGGGATATAAGTATGTCGAATTCAAGAAAAGGGAAGAGACTGTTGCACTGGGGCACAAATCAGAGGATTGTTGTGTTTCGGATCATGAAAATACAGCTTCAAATTTGGCTGTCTCAACTACTTTGTTCAACCATGCGCTAAAGTTTATGGTTCTTTTTGGGTTGCTCACATTCCAAGGCTCACTACCTGCGGTTTCTCTCCCGGATATTGCTAGTGGGTTGCAGTTCCTTCCTAATGTAGGAGACCTTGGTGATATTAGCACAGGTTTTGCTTCAGTGAGGAAATCTCCCTGTAACTTCTATATTAGTTGCATTTTTTATTATTATTATTTAAATAAAGGCCTATGCATAATTTTAAGCATTCAAATGCTTCCTAAATCACTGTGCTTTGCAAAGTGAGTTCAGAAGGAAAATGACAGAAAAAAACTCTGCTAAACTTTCTCCTGTTGTTTAAAGTTTTTGTAAATATGACAACACATCTTCAATAGCAGTAACTGAATCATTTTCTTTTATTTCAGGCATTCTTGCTGATATTTTTCTCAGAACTGGGAGACAAAACCTTTTTCATTGCGGTAAGACCGAGTCCTTTTAGTAATATCTCGTTTGTGCTATAGGAGGATACATTTTCTAGCTCAATTATTTTCAACTTTTAACCATTTTCTTTTCCGTTATTACCTGTGCATAACTGTCGAGTTCACCCTGGTTTGCATGTTTTATTTGCAGGCACTTTTAGCTGCTAGAAATTCTGCTGTTGTAACTTTCATTGGGACTTTTGGAGCACTTGCGTACGTTGTTCTGCCCATGCATGGTGATTTATAAGTCCTTTACACGTTTTAATCTCATTACATGAGATGCTCATAGGTGTGTACTTCTCTCAGAACAGACATGAAATGTCGTTTTAAAAGATGAAGTGTTTTTTCTATTATGTGCAGGGCAATGACAATCGTATCTGTTGTTCTGGGAAGAACTTTCCACTATGTTGATGAAATCCTTCCGTTCAGGTTTTTCCCTTGAGATTTCTTGGTAGAATGAATATGAAGACTCTGGTTTAGCTTAGATCAATCAGTTTTCGTATTATGATTAGTTTGGTTGGTTTAAATATATACATATATATTTTTTCTCTAACATCTGACTATTAATGCCCAGATTTGGTGAGGCTGATCTGCCTATTGATGATATTGCTGCAGTTTTCCTTCTGGTATATTTATCTTCCAACTTTTGGATTAGGCTTTATTTGTCAGTTAAAGATGGGAAAACACATTATATGCTCAGAAGTGTAAGATACTTTAAAAAAATTGCAGGTATACTTTGGAGTTTCAACATTGCTTGATGCTGCTTCAAGTGATAATCAAAAAGCAGAAGATGAACAAAAGGAGGTCAACTCACCATTTCTTTATATGATGTCTTAAGATACGTACCTATGCATGCATGTAGTTTTTGACTTGGCTTGGTTATTCAAGCTCCAATACTGGTCCATTTTTTTCTAGTAAATGATTTGATTTCAGAGTTTATTTAAATCAGTTCCTCTTCTTGTGGTATGAAACAGGCAGAATTAGCAGTTTCAGAATTTTCTGGAAATGGAGCTGGGATCTTAGCTGCTGCTAACACTGTTATTAGCACTTTCTTCTTGGTTTTTGTTGCCGAGTGGGGCGATAAATCATTCTTCTCCACAATCGGTCAGTTCCAAAGCACTTGGTTTTCTTTTTTTCTCGCTGTCTGAAGACGTTTCGGAGCTTTCAATGAGGATTGTTATCTAATCATAACATGTTTTAGCTGGTGACATTCTACCAGGGTGCTTCTCTATAAAGTATTTACGTCTTTTCTTTTGTTTTTATGCAGCACTAGCGGCAGCCTCTTCTCCTCTCGGAGTCATCGGAGGCGCACTGGCTGGCCATGGTGTTGCTTCTCTGGTAACTCATACTTGAGCATAAAGGAATAAACAAAAAAAAAAGTCTTCCTTTGATGACATCATTGCAGTGTCTCTACTTCTATATTTGATAGTCGTACTGCTACAAATCTTTTCTATTATGTAAACTGCAATTGCCAAATATTACTCATCTCAATAACCCATTTGACATTAGTTACCAGGACCCTTGTAAAATTTCCACTTTTTCTTTAGAAATCATACAGATACTAAATTCCAAATTCTTTCTACAGCTTGCTGTTTTAGGAGGATCTTTACTGGGCACATTCTTATCAGAGAAGGTAAGCTTTGAGCTTTCAACCTTCTTATCTCTTTCACCAAAGGGCATCATGGGGTATTTAGCTTTTCCTTAATGCGTTTCATTTATTAGTCTTCCTTGGTTTCTTGTGCAGGCCATTGCCTACATCGGCGGTACTCTCTTTCTCATCTTCGCTGCTGTAACATTGTTTGAGATTGTGAATTAGAGGCTGAAGTTAGATACTAAAATCACATTTTTTGTGCGATTATTAATTATGACTTAATTCTTTGTTCCTCCTGGACTTATTATCATGAATCTGTTACTGAATCAAATCTTGATCTGAAACATGGAATGACAATGAAAACTCGATTTCATGCATAGCCATAACCCTAAAAACTAATAATTGAATAACTAATAACATTATTCTCCAGAAACAAATGGACTAATTGAGGAAACTATAACTGTAATGCAAAGGTGAAATTTAGATTGGGAATCCATTCCAGGAACAAAGTAATTAAAATCCAGGAATATAACCAAGACTCCTGAAAGTATGCCAAGAAACTTCACATCCTGCCCCATGCATTTTTCTTTACCTTAGCTAGGTGCATCCAAATTGCAGACGTTTTCGGCAGGTTTGTGTTGGAACCGGGCAACCCCTTCCCTGTATGGAAAATTTATGACTAATGAGAGTCAACCAAGATATTCGAGAATGGAACAAAATTCTGATTTGCCATCAGGCTCTAGGGTAGCTGCCTCCACGAACCTACAAATCATTATATGCTAGACTTTTGCTCAGTTTTAGCATGTGTGACAATACTCGATCTGACAACAACAATATGCAAAAATATTATCAAATTGAAAATGTACAGACTACTGTTTATGCCTGGACTGGATCATAACCCAGTTTTTAACAGTTTTTTTATTGATCAATGTTCAAACTTCCATTTCAAAAAGAGTGTGCCACATTAATCCCAGTGGGAAGAAAGGCAATATTGATAAGGAAAAGCAATTTGAATATAAGAACATATTACCCCCGTACCATATTCGAAGATAAAGCATAGCTCTTGATAAACTTTTACACTTTACGAGCTAGTGTCCTCTGCTTTGTTGCATGCTGAACTACTTTTTCTTCTACAGGCAAACCCTTCCTCCGCCTAACAGCATTAATGAGCTTTCTTGCAGTATTCGGAAGAACACTAGAACCATCACCAAATTCTTCTCTCTCCTCTTCTGTTTTTGGTACAAAAAATGGATCCTCAGGAAGTGCTTCCCAGTGACTAAGCACAAGAAGGGCACTAGAAGCCCCAGATGTCCATCTCCTTAGCTCATCAGCAAAACCAAAACTTTCAGAAACTGGCACATAAGCATGCACTGTAAAAAGAGGAGAACCTTCCTGCATTTCTTCCTTCAAAACTCGGGCTCGCCTCCGGGCAAGCACTGCATACATGGGGCCCAAATATTCAGTTGGAGTATTCAACTCACAAAAGTACATGGCTTCAACAAGCCTAGGCTTCCTCTGAAGCACAGCTGCTCTACAGGACTCTTTGACCGCTGTCATTATCTGTCCAGTGAAAAGACCATACTGCTCAGATAGTTGGTTAGGTTCTGAGTCACCAGCCTGCACAGTTGAGGGAGAGATATAAGCTTCAACGACAAAGGCTAATCCCCACATTGGTTCATCACATAAGGGGCCAGCTGCAGTAGCCAATTGAAATCCAGACATCAGACTACTTTCCAGACTCTCTGCTTCTCCATAGAGTGGTTGAGTCAGTTCCAAAGATGTAGCAGCAGTATCACTAGCACTAGAATTATCAGCAAAGCCCAATCTCAGAGATACATAAGGAGAGCCATGTATCAGAATAGTGCCACCGTCATTTTCCATTTTGTAATCCGGGGTAAAAAGAATGTTAGGACCAACCTGCCTTGGACCAAGTGCCCAGATCCTCCTAAGAAGTTTGAGCCATTTACCTTTGCAGTTTTCAGCCTGATCCTTGTCATTTTCATGTCCACACGAAAAATCACTCTCCAGAGCGTCAACAATGCGCTTTCTAAGCACTTCAATCAGGCCCTCATTTTCACTCAGACTTGATGTATGCATTTCCAAGCTTTTGGCACTCTGCCCCAGTTTACCTCCAATAATATCTGAGAGCAAATCAGAACTTTCATGAAGCACCTTGGTTAGTGTCGGTGGAAGTTTCATGACTTTAACACAGATGGTGCATCTTCCATTCGAAGTCATTTTTTCAACATAGTCCGAGCCAGAACTAAACAGTTTCACATCATCCAGCGTATTAGATAAATCGCCCTCAATAGTCTCTTTATAGGACACAAGAGGTGGAGAGACTTCCAGGCTCACCTTTGCAAATCTCTCCTTCAAATCCTTGATGCATCTTTCTAGATGAACCTCACCAGCAGCGGCTAACACATGTTCCCCTCTAGAGGAAACAGTGACCTCTACAAATGGATCAGCTCGATTCAGAAGCCTCAGACCTTTCATAAGAGCACCCATATCTGCAGGATCAGAGGGTTCAATTGCAACCCTTAGGGTAGGGGAAACCTGAAATGCCATACTTGAGAAAGGCCAACAGTTTCTTGTGGACGAAAGAGTTGCACTTTTTAATATATGCTGGCCAAGCCCACGAATTGCTACTATATTCCCAGCCCTCGCACATGTCACTGGTTTCAGACCTTGACCCATCATCAAATATAAGGACTGCAATTCAGCTTCCTGCACATGCTTCAGCATCGGTTCCCCTCTCAATGGATCATATAGAGCTGAAAGCACAAAAACTCTTTGTCCTGATCTAAGAACCCCACTAAAGATCCTAGCAAATGCAAGGAAACACTCCTCAGATTCACTAGTTCCATTTTCTTCAGTGAAATTGTTTAAAATCTCCCCTTGTGCTCGTTGGGGAAGCATCTTTGTTGGAACTGCAAACATCTTCGATACAAAAGCAATACATGGTGCTTCAAGGCTAGAATCACAAGCTTCAACTGACTTTCTCACTAGATCGGCCTCTGCAAGCACATTAGAGTCTACCCCTTTATCAAGAATCTCTCTTTTGGGAAGCAAACGTGAAATCCTAAGTGATTGAGCAGAAATAGGATCTGGCATACACTTTACTACCATTGACAAAACTGCATTTGACAAAGGAAGCCATCTACTCATGACAGCTTGAAGCAAAATCTTTGGGTCCTTATTCTGCAGTTCACGAGGAGGGATAGACAAATAAAAAGATTTAATCACTTTCTCAAGTGTCCCTTTGTCCCCATCTGGTTCCAAAGCAGCGTGGTAAACCTGCCAAAGTGGTTCAAGAACAAACTGCACAAACATTGGTCGTGCCTTACTTCCTCCACCTAATCCCTTCTTCCCAACAATCATCTTGGTCTTGGGATTGAAATAGCGAGGACCCCAGAGCGCTTTCTGAAGCGCAAATGTACTTGCCCCGAGCTTAGAAGCATAAAAATTAGCAAACTCAGTAATTGTAAAACCCCACCCATCCAAAGCACACACAAATGCTACATTCCCCTTTTGAGGCTGAAAAGTATCCTCCTCATCATCCTCTATGGACTCCAAATTCTCATCAGTCACCTCACCAGAAGGGCCAGCAAGTATGGAATCAACATCAGACAAATATTTCTCTGACTTATACGTACTCATAATCCCATTGACCTCAAGAACAATCCTCAACAACCGGTTATAAGCTTCCATGGGGCTCAACTTTAATTCGCATATCAATCTATCGATCTTATTAAGAACTAAGCATGGGGTAACCTTCTCAATCCAGGATTGTCGCAAGACTGCGTGAGTTTGAATATGAACACCTTCAACAGCATCAACCAAAACCAATCCACCATCACTCAACCGTGCAGCAGTAGACACCTCACTACAAAAATCCATATGACCAGGGGAATCTATAAGGTTAATGTCATAGTCTTTATAATGAAGAGCTATAGATGAACTCTTCATCGTTATTGCTCTCCTTTGCTCTTCATCAAGATAATCCATAAACCTAAGTTTACCAGCTAATTTAGGGTGCAGTACACCACCACCTGTCGCGGCTATCAAATGATCAGCTAATGTGGTCTTACCATGATCAACATGTGCTAATATGCATATATTCCTAATCTTCCTAGTATCAGAGTCACCCATTGTTTTGTTCTCCTCTAAGTTACAACAAGAAGAAGAAGATGAAGAGCTAAATCAACAAAAATACGATGTATAAAGTATTGGGAATCTTAAAACAAAATTACGTAATTAGGGTATATTGATAGGTATATTGATTCCCAGGCATTATATACTACAAAGGGAAAGAATTCGTATCTGCACTCACCAAACGATTTTAGCTTCAGCGCGGCACGAAATTGATCTTCAGAGGTACAGCTAAGGTTAATTGACGGCGCCCACAACCAATTTACCTCCGTGTTTGCTGGAAACGAGTTGAAGAAGATAAGGTAGGAATTGGGAGCAAAGGAGAAAGAAAGAAAGAAGAAGGATTAAAGACGGGGGAGGAAAGGAGAAGATGGCGCTCAACCAGTGGCCTTAATAAGGTGTTATATCTTCGCACAATCTCACACGTGGCTGCTGCTCTTCAATCTGTAATCTCGTTTCAAATTGAGACATACAAGTTTTCGTTTTGGAAATTAGGTTTCTTTTCTCTTGTTGAGGAAGAACTTTCTTATCAGTCCTTTTGGGTCTTCGATGCCCGTTGTTTCCCTAAAAAATAAACTTTCCTTCCAGGCCATGGCCCATGATTAATAGCACAAGCAAATAGACCAGCCCCAAAGACAGTCTTTTTTACTGCAAAGCTCTCCTTATCTTCTGCCACTCACCCTCATCACATTCGGTGGCGGATGCACTAAGCCCCTGTACGGGTCAAGTACATCTCCATTATTTTAGAAAAATAATTAAATTTAATTTAATATGTTAAGAAAAAAATTATAATTTTTACATATCCATTATTTTTAAGAAAAAAATTAAAATTTTGGATCTCTTTTCTTAAATTTCTTGATCTGCCACTGTGCACATTAAATTCAAAATTAAGCTTAGTTGTTACCCAATATCTAAATGGTAGTTATGGTCATGTTTGAAATCTTATTATTTTTATTGTGATTGCAGAAATAACATATAATGATTTTAATCGTTGTCATCGCAACTATTATATAGTGACCGTTATTTTCTTACTTTGTCGCTATTTTAATCCCCGAAAATATCCATTAGATCTGAAGTGTCAAACGAGTTAATCTAATTTTGGTAAGAGACTCGTCCTCTTTATTTTCCTTCAACGTCATCCATCTCCTACAAAAACAAGCAAAGAAGCAATGAAACTCAAGACAAAACTATTTGACAAAGCCACACCACGCATATATAAACGACACGACGAATAACTTGCACTTTGTTTTAGAGAGAAACTCTAGCGAGACAAGATTGGATAATTTCATTATTAATATTATTTAATTTAAGACGTTCTAATTATTAATCGTAACAAATTTGAAACAAATATGAATATTAACAATTAAGTATTTATTATCTAAATTCGTATTATTTTCATGAGTTATTGATATCCAAATCTAATATCCATTTTACTTTTTTATTTGGTTGATTTAGATATAAAAATATTAGTTTTATTAGTCAAATAACCATACTCAAATTTAATATAAATAATAAATAAATTCAAATTTTAGAGCTTATAAACGCATTTGTGAATTGTGGAGATATCCCACGCCAATTCCTCAATTTGATTGTGTGTGAATTGAGTAAACGTAGAAGTAGGTCCCATGCGTCCAGTTTCGCCTTTTCGGTTACAACTTTTGTTAACATACTTTTCACTCCCTCAATTTGAGCTGTTTGGCCAATGAGACAGTTCACTTTTTGTGGATAAGAGGGTTGGGTGATTAAAATTTATATAAAATAGATTGTGGGAAATAAGGTTTAATTGTTCTCTAAATCCTTTTACTCTTTGAGTTTTTTAAATTTAATCTCTCTACTTTTAATTGCAAAAAATTATTTCTCTATTTTCATCATTTTAATATATATCCATTATATTTATGTTAAATTAGATATTTCCATTATATTTTAATTTTTAAAATATATATTTCAATACTAAAATGAAATGAAAAAATTTATTGACAATAGTGTCAATTGGACTTTTAATTTTTAAATCAAACAAGTAAAAGTGTAAAAAAGTTGGAAATAGATTATCAGATTTCATAGGTTTAAAGAGTACAGAGACTGAAAGCAAAATAAACCAAAAGGGTTGTTATTGCTATTTCCTCAGTACCTGCGTGAAGTATCATTTCAGAGAAGCGCGTGAATCTTTTACACGCGCGTAAAACCTCTTCTTTATTCCTTACAGTTTCAATTTCAGTTTTCAAAAATAAAAAATAAAAAAAATCCCTTATAACTCTCTTTCCCTAATTCGCTTGACTTACATTTGACCTAGTAAATTAAAGAGAAAATTACTTCAGTGACCAAAAATATCTTATAATATACGATTTTAACTAATTTTTTTGGGTTTGCCAAAATGACCAACTAAATCGCAATACGATCGATAATTCGCAACGCGATCTCCGGTATAGCAAATCAGTTTCCAGATTCGCAACGCGAACTTTGACTATCGTAATGCGAACTTGGACTATCGCAATGCGAACTTGGACTATCCCAATGCGAATATGTAAATCGCAATGCGATAGTCGAAGTTTGCATTGCGATAGTCGAAGTTCGCATTGCGATAGTCCAAGTTCGCATTGCAATAGTCGAAGTTCGCGTTACGATTTATTCCAAATTCGACTATCGCAACGCGAACTTTGACTATCGCATTTTGATTTACATATTCGCATTGCGATAGTCCAAGTTCGCATTGCGATTTATTCCAAATTCGTTGCGATAGTCAAAGTTCGTGTTGCGATTTATTCCAAATTCGTTGCGATAGTCGAAGTTCGCGTTGCGATTTATTCCAAATTCGTTGCGATAGTCCAAAATCGCAACGACTGGTGGTATTGCATTTGTTTCTTAAGAATTTTCTCTAAAAAGATAGTATTCGCGCGGACGTGTCGAAGACACGTATTACCACGACCACGACCCGACCCGAGACGAGACGGACGGCGGCGGCGGCGGCACGCGAGAGTTTCCCTTGTTCTCTATCACTCAACAAGGAAGTGAGAAAGCCAAGCCTTAAATACCATTCCCAATAGTATTTCCAATACTATGTGGGATTGAGCATTACCAACACTTGTTTCCAATACAATGTGATCATTCAGGAAACAATTAACAATCATGCACCTTAAAACAACTGAATCATCAACCAATTGCATTAGTATTATACGATTAAATATGTCATAATTAAAAGTCAATCTACAATCAATCGCGATTATTGCAATTTTAAGCAAAACATTCAAAAATTATATCACTATTTAAGACTCAATCCCACGTAGTATTGGGAACAAGTGTTGGTAATGCTCAATCCCACATAGTATTGGAAACACTATTGGGAATGGTATTTAAGGCTTGGCTTTCCCACTTCCTTGTTGAGTGATAGAGAACAAGGGGGACTCTCGCGCGCCGCCGCCGCCGCCGTCCCGTCTCGGGTCGTGGCAATACGTGTCTTCGACAAGTCCGCGCGAATACTATATTTTTAGAGAAAATTCTTAAGAAACAAATGCAATACCGTCGTTGCGATTTTTGACTATCGCAACGAATTTGGAATAAATCGCAATGCGAACTTCGACTATCGCAACGAACTTGGAATAAATCGCAACGCGAACTTGGACTATCGCAACGAATTTGGAATAAATCGCAACGAATTTGGAATAAATCGCAACGCGAACTTCGACTATCACAACGAACTTGGAATAAATCGCAACGCGAACTTGGACTATCGCAATGCGAATATGTAAATCGCAATGCGATAGTCGAAGTTTGCGTTGCGAATCTGGAAACTGATTTGCGATACCGAAGATCGCGTTGCGAATTATCGATCGCATTGTGATTTAGTTGGTCATTAAGGCAAATCCAAAAAAAGTTGGTTAAAATCGTATATTATAAGGCATTTTTGGTCACTGAGGTTATTTTCTCTAAATTAAATTACTTTCATTTTTTTAAGAATGGGTAACTGTAACGGTGTTCCATCTGCCGGTAACCAATCCCGACCGGACACCAACAACAGCAAGGATCCCCACCATGGCATCAGTGTCATACCTGTTGATGCATCGGCTCCAAGACCACCAAAACCTCCAACCCAGCACCTGTCGTCCCCCGCCGCCCCCAGCCACCACATCGCTACCTCCACTGCTCCACAGATGAGTCGTGTGCTCGGTCGTCCCATGGAGGATGTCCAGTCAACTTACGACTTCGGCCGTGAGCTCGGTCGTGGGCAGTTCGGTGTTACCTACTTGGTGACTCACAAAGAAACCAAGCAACAATTCGCTTGTAAATCTATCACTACCCGTAAGCTTATCAACCATGATGATATCGAAGACGTCCTCCGCGAAGTCCAGATCATGTACCACCTCACCGACCACAGGTTTCCCCACCAAACAAAACTATGATATCATACATCTAATTATGTTATGGATAGAGGAGATTTTAAGTAAATGGGTTTTTCAGGAATATTGTGGAGCTGCACGGTACTTACGAGGATCGGCACTTCGTGAATCTAATAATGGAGCTTTGTGCTGGAGGGGAGTTGTTTGACTGGATTATAGCAAAGGGTCATTATTCAGAGAGGGAGGCGGCTAAATTGTGCCGGTATATCGTGACAGTGGTGCATAACTGTCATTCCATGGTGGTTATGCATAGGGACTTGAAGCCTGAGAATTTCTTGTTCTTGAGCAAGGACGAGGATTCTCCATTGAAGGCTACAGATTTCGGTTTCTCAGTACTTTTTAAGCCAGGTAAGATTTCGTGATTTCTCTGATTTGAGCTAGATTGATTTTGTTGTGATGAACTGATGATCAGTTATGAAAATGTGATCATAAGATTTATATATGAATATTGATAATCGTCGTTTTGTTTTTCAAAATAATTTCGGCTTCTTAATTAAATAGAAAAGAAAATGTAGTAAAGAGAAGCAGAGTCGATCTATAGAGACTATGTTTTTTGTGATTTAGTAAAACTATTTCTTGATATTAGGAAAAAAATAAAATTTCAGTTGAAAATATTTAATAAAATAAAATAGATAATAATAAATAAAAGAGGAAAATAATAAAATAATAAATAATAGCAGTAAAATAAAAAGGGATTTTAAAAGTTGTTTTTAAAATAAAATATAAGAATTAAATAAAAGAAATAATTAAATAAATAACTGAAAGAGATTAAAATAAAGAGAAACTTATAGTGAAAGTAACCTCAGACTTCAACTTTTCCTCAAATTTCTCGAATCATCGAAACATATTTTTACTTCAAGATTCACATCGGCTTACAAGGATAATTCTTCACTGCTAACTCGGACTGTGTTGTTTCAACAATAACTTATTACGATCTCAGTTTCCTCTTAGCAAACAATTTTACTAAGTGTGTTCTCGGGAAGTTGAATATGTTTCAATAAGCAAATTCTTCTTCAAACGTTAACCATTTCAACATCCGGAACAATGTCGAAATCGTTTTGATTTGAAAAGTAAGCTCAAAAAACAGAGAGAAAAATCTGAAGTGATTTAAGTACCTTACAATTCTCACGTTTGGATTTGAGTTTTCGCTTTAGTCTTCGTAAACTTGGATTTTACGCAACTATCAGCAACTCAGAGCGCATATTTGGAGGTGGAATTATCTGAGCAAGAAGTGTGGCAAGTAATCTCTTCTTCGGATAGTGCAAAAGCTCCTGGCCCAGATGGTTTTACCATGGGTTTCTATAAGAAATATTGGGAAAATCTAAAGGAGCAGATCATGGAGTTTTTATCTGATTTCTATCAAGGTAAGATGTGGGATCATGGAGTTAATCATGCGTTTATTACCTTGATTCCTAAGAAAGGTATTCCCGAGAGCATTGAAGATTATAGACCCATTAGTCTTGTGGGCAGTTTGTATAAAATCCTCTCAAAAGTTCTCTTAAAAAGACTTATATCTTGTGTCAAGGATATTATTAGTCCGTCTCAGTTCGCTTTTATTCCGGGTAGGCAATTGTTGGACTGTGCATTTTTAGCCAATGAAGGAATTTATTATTGGAGGAAGCAGGACTTAAAGGGGTTGTTCTTAAAGTGGATTCCAGTAGAGCATACGATACAGTAGAATGGCAGATTCTTCAAAGGCTAATGAAGGAGATGGGTTTTGGAGAGAGGTGGTGTTCTTGGATCTCACAATGTATCTCCACAGCTTCTATTTCGGTTCTAGTGAATAGGTCTCCTACTAAGGAGTTTTCTATTGCTAAAGGCTTGAGGCAAGGTTATAGCCTTTCTCCTCTTCTGTTCAATTTGGTCGGGGAATTACTTCATAGGATGTTGACTAAAGCAGTGGATTCGGGTCTTTTTCAAGGTTTCTCTTTTGGTAAAAATCAAAATCCCTTCTCTTTGTCCCATCTTCAGTTTGCAGATGACTTAATTATATTTTGTCGAGCATCAATTTCGCAGATTAAGAATGTTAAAAGAATTTTGAGGATTTTCAGCGTAATGACGGGGCTCCATTTAAATTTAGCCAAAAGTAAACTTTACGTAATTAATGTGGAGAGTGATATCCTTGAAGATTGGGCTACGGATATTGGTTGTTCTATTGGTTCATTTCCCACAGAATACTTAGGCCTTCCTTTAGGGGCGAGAACGAATTCGGAGAAGTTGTGGGATCCAGTTATTGCCAACTTCAATAAGAAATTGGCTAGTTGGAAAGTTACTTCTTTAACTATGGTTGGTATATTGGTGTTAATAAAGTCGGTATTATCATCCTTACCTATTTTTTCCCTATCTATTTTTAAGATGCCTTCTACTATTTGTCAGAGGCTAAATTCATTGATGTCGGATTTTTATGGGGGAGTAGGGGTGACAAGAAGAGAATGCACTGGGTGCTTTGGGATTATATATGTAGGCCGTTGAGTGGAGGAGGCTTGGGAATGGCAGATTTGAAGGTTACAAATTGAGCGTTGTTGGGTAAGTGGGTTTAGAAGTTTGCCAATGATAAGAATTTAATGTGGAAAAAACTCTTATGCAGTAAACACAATGTGAGCTGTCAATCCATGGATATCAATAAAGTTTTCTCTCATAAAGACTCTTGGATTTGGAGAGGAATTGTGAATAATTATTTAAAGGATGATGTCATTGGAGGTTGCCTTAGATCTCATGCTAAGCTTCAAATAGGTAACGGTAAATCTTTTTCCTTTTAGAGTGATACGTGGAATGGGGATTTTCCTTTAAAACTTATGTTTCCTAGAATGAATGCCATTTCTTCAAATAAATTGGGTAAGGTAGCTGATTTTGGGAGTTTTGATTCGTCTGGATGGGTTTGGAATATTAAGACCATGAGGAACCTTTGTGATTGGGAGGTTGAGCAGTTGGTTGAGTTATTGGACAGCCTAAAAACATTAAACTGATGGAGCCTTTGGAGGATTGTTTGTTGTGGGATGGTTCGGACGATGGGCAGTTTTCTGTTAAAGCGTGTAGGAAAGCTCTTTCTGTTTCTCTTGATGACTCGGTTCAGTGGAAAAAAGTTGTTTGGCGGGGTTTAGTTCCTCCTCGAGTGGAGACTTTCCTTTGGCAATTATCACATCAAAAAGTAGCTGTGAGAGTGGAGTTGTTGAGAATGGGGGTTGATTTAGGGGAGAATATTCTCTGCCCGTTATGTAATCAATGGGCTGAATCAGTTCAGCATCTATTTATTTCTTGTCTTGATTCTTGGGAACTGTGGACTAAAACTATAGGGTACTGGGGTATTCGACTTGCTCTTCCGCAAGACCCTCCTAAAATGCTCAGTTCATGGGCTTATTTGAGGCCAAATTCTGCTATATGGAAGTTTATTCCAAGGGCAATTTTTTGTTCCATTTGGAAGTTAAGAAACGAGATCATCTTCGACAAAGGAAAGTTGGACATAATCTCTTTATTTTTCACTGTTCGATTCAGATTAGCTAAGTGGTTTGTAGCTAAGTATCCCCTATTTTCAACTCAAGTTGATTTCTTAATTGGTGACCCCTCTGTGGCTGACAACCTTTCAGACTCTAAGGTTCTGGACAGTATTGTGTACTGCTGGATTCCTCCTCCACTGGACTTCTTTAAGATGAATGTGGACGGGGCGGTGAGTAGTGTGGGGATGGTGGCTGGTATTGGGGGAATTCTTAGGGACTGAAATCGGGTGACACTGACTTCATTTTCAGTAAATGTAGATCCTAATACTCCCATCCTAGTAGAAATGAAGGCTATCAAGAAAGGCATTGACATCTTTGTTTCATCTGTATGGGTTTCGAATGGTAGGCTCATTATTGAAAGTGATTCAAAGATAGCAGTGGAATGGATTAAAGATCAAATTTCAGTCCCTATTTACCTGTCAAATTTTGTGAAGGAGATTGTGTCTATTGTTTCTTTAAATCAGATCATTATCAGGTGGATTCTTAGGTGTTGTAATTATGAGGCGGACAAGCTAGCTAAGGAGAGAATTGGCTGATTGTACTGCTTTTAGTTGGTTTGTATGTCTTTGAGGGGAAGTCCTGCAGGAGTGTTTCAAGTCTTATGTATATTTGTAGGAGTGTTTTTAAATTTTATGTAATTGATTTATCATTAATAAAATGATGTACTTTTTTCCTCCTTCCACTAGTGGGTTATTGCCTTAGGGCAGTGGACTACTTAGAGGGAGGTTTTTAATGAGGCATCCTATTCCTATAAAAAAAAAAGAGAGAAAAAGAAGATTTAATTCTCATGTAAGAGATATGTTTCTAGGCTTACCTTGAGAGTGTATTTATAACCTTCAAATTCCTAAAAACAAACTAAAACATCTTAAATTCTAATTAAAACACTTAAAACTATTTAAACTAAAATATCTAAAACAAAAATAATATTTAAAATAATATTCTAAATCTTAATTAAAATACTAAAACCTATTTAAACTAAAATACCTAAAACAAATCTAAAATATAAAAATAATATCCTAAACTTAATTAAAATACTAGAACATATTTAAACTAAAATACCTAAAACAAAGATAAATATATTATTTAAAATATTATCCTAAAACTTGAGTTTAATCCAAATCCGAATTCCAGAAACGTGCGGCCAATCCATTCGTGCTTCTAGAAGGTGTTGATGTCATCGCCTCGTCGGATGTTTCATGTCCGAATTCATGCCCACTAATCCAGCTTTGATTCTGAAATAAAAAAAATAAAATTTTGTCTTTTTTGTGCAATTTTCAAAATCTGACGTGCTACACAGAAAATGAATCAAAACGAATAATTAAACCATAAAAAATAATGATGAGGAATATTTTAATGTTTGCTTCTCATGGTACACTGGATGCATGACGAAGCTTTTTTTCTGACAATAGATGTGTTGGGAATGAAAATATCATCTCAGTTCTGTTACAAAAATATTTTGGTAATTGCCTAATTGGAACATTACTATTGTAGCTACAGTCGTCGTAGGTTACTGAATGAAAAATCTTCATAGCTTCCTTTGTTATTGAAGATCTTTGCTATTCTTGGATGTTTTAGAACTAAATACTTACTATGTAAAGTTAGTTTTAACATTTCGTCTTTTATCTGCAATTTGTCTAACTGAATAATGTAGGCAAAGAAAGCTACTTTTTCTCCCCAAATTTACTTCTGAAGACTTACTGATGACGGATAGCAACTAGAAATATCTTTACTGATGCATGCAGGAGATGTTTTTAAGGATCTTGTTGGAAGTGCTTATTATGTGGCTCCCGAAGTACTGCGCCGCCGCTATGGACATAAAGCTGATATTTGGAGTGATGGGGTGATTCTTTACATTCTCCTCAGTGGGGTCCCAGCATTCTACGGAGGTACTACTATTGTCTCTTGTGATGATAAGAGGATCCTCACAATAATGTTGTACAGCCATATCCTTTTCTAAGAATTGGAAGTTTCTGAAGTTTTAAATTTCAATGTTTTCTAGTTAAGCACATGTGGAATAAGAACAATAGCACTGCTCAGTGCTGGATGAGTGTTAGGGTCTCTCATATATGCTTTCGGTTTTGTATGCAGAAACTGAACAGAATATCTTTGATTCTATTCTTCGGGGAAATATTGATTTCTCATCAGATCCATGGCCCTCTGTTTCCAGCAGTGCCAAAGATCTCGTGAGGAAGATGCTACGAGATGACCCTAAAGATCGGATTTCAGCAGTTGAAGTCTTGAGTAAGTCCTTTTCGTCATTCTATTCCCCTTATTAGAAAGGATTTATGAACTAGCTAGGGTTTTGCGAGTTGATGGCAGTTGTGTTCTATTGTGAAGGATAAGGAAGTTAATAGCCTTGGATATGAAACTATCAAGTTGGCTATCCAATTCAAAATTTGATTTTTCCTTTGCTTCACATTTTGCTTCAAGTTTCTTGGCAATTTCTGTGACAAAAGAAATAGAGCTTCACTTACCAATGCCTGCAGATCATCCATGGATGCGTGAAGATGGTGATGCATCTGATAAGCCTCTTGATGTTGCTGTTTTATCTAGAATGAAGCAATTCAGGGCAATGAACAAACTCAAAAAAGTTGCTTTGAAGGTGAATTGCTTTCTCTGTTACATTATCAAATATAAATATTTAAGCTACATTTTCATGAAACATGGAAAGAAGATAATATAATGGGGAATTAGCAATGAGGTGTTTTGGCCTAATGTTTCAAAGCTAAGTGTGCCATAGACTTCTAGTTTATTTATAGCCATTGGTCAGTGGCAGCAATGTGGCAACAAGTCATCATCCTTGTCAATTATTCTTTCTTTCCTTTCAGGTAATTGCAGAAAATTTATCTGAAGAGGAAATCATAGGTTTGAAGGAGATGTTCAAATCAATGGACATTGATCATAGCGGAACAATCACCTTTGAGGAGTTGAAAGATGGACTTCCTAAACTCGGTACTAAGCTTTCTGAGCATGAAGTGAGGCAGTTAATGGAAGCGGTAATACCTTGTCCTTTATACATCCTGCCAAGCAATTGATGTTCTTTGAAATAATTTACAAAAACACGACTTTTAATGATGAATGAATGAATGTCTGGATTGACAACTGTGCTTTCCTTTTAGAACGTTTATCATTACTGATTAGTATAAGTATAATCAGCTTTATCCAAATTCAAGTTCCATGTTTCTATTCTTTGGTTGAAAGGACTCTAGGAGCCTCTAGAACCAAGGAACAATGTAGAGATTAATAAGTTTTATAAGGACAATAAATGCTGAGTCTGGCCATTGTGCAACTTGTCATCCCATTATAATGCTAAACAGATTAATGATGATAAGACAAGAACCACAGTTGTTAGAGATCTTTAAGTACTCCCTCAAGGTAACCTAAAGTCGTAGTCTAACTTCTGCCCTGCTCACCATGCTACTGGGACTGTTAATTTTTTCAGGGAATCGTAGTGGAACCCTAGGTAACTCATTTGTTTATTTGCAACAAACCCTATGTAACTCAAAACCAAGTATTAAGGGAAGATTAATATACCCTTTACATGACTTGCTTAATAGCATCTCGTTATAACAGTTGCTCTATATTTTTGGGATTCTGTTTTGAAACCAATATTTGGATGATGTTAACATTCATTCAACTGGAGTATTAAGGAAGGATTAATATACTCTTTACATGAGTAGCTTAACGTCATTTTCTGTTTTGCAACCCACCATCTCAGGATCTGGTCATAGTATGTTCTATGATTTAGCTATTTCTTGATTAACATGCATTCAACTGGAATATTAATGACAAACAAGAACCTTTTAAAAAATTATAAAGAAAATAAAGGTATATGAATACTGCTTTTTGAAGAGATACATGCAATATTTAAAATGCGTGCAAATCTCAGTATGTAAATCATTCTCTCTAACGTAGCTGTATTATTATTATATAACCTGTTTGTTACTTCCCCAGGCTGATGTTGATGGAAATAGAACAATTGATTACATTGAGTTTATAACAGCTACCATGCACATGAATAGAATGGAAAGAGAAGAACACTTGTACACTGCTTTCCAATACTTTGACAAAGACAATAGCGGGTAATCTGCCTTACCGTCTTGTTTTTTATGCTACTATTTTGTGGTAATTTTCATTCTTGAATCGTATTTTGTATTGTAATGACTGAACTTCTTTCTTTACTACTCAATTTAGTTACATTACAATGGAAGAGCTAGAGCAGGCCCTTAAGAAGTATAATATGGGTGATGAGAAAGCAGTAAAAGAGATCATTGCTGAAGTTGATACAGACAGGTATGCTTCTTCTTCTAGAGGCTTGTATCTATCCTTATCTCGTTTCAATTGCTCTTCAAAAATAATTTAACTTCAGCAAATAGTGAACCCATATTAATGAAGATGTTGCAATTGTGGTATTGAATTGCAATTCTAGTTACTTAGATAACCAAAACCTCTTGTTTTTCCTTTCTTCATGTTGATGTACCATGTTCTTCCCGCAGGATGGAAGAATTAACTATGATGAGTTTGTTGCGATGATGAGAAAAGGCAACCCAGAGTTGGCCAATAACCGACGACGCAAGTAAAGCCTGAATGCAGCCTGCATATCCGCTGGCTCAAATTCAACTCTATAATGGTTAATGTATATTTTTTGTTTTACTATGACAGCAATCAAGTGTAAACTCAGTTTCACCATCTGAAATCGAGAAACAACCCTTGTTTTAAGAAATTATTAGTCGTTTGTTTATTTGTGCTCCGAGAAATGAATAGATTGCCATCAAACTGCAGGGTACTGAACTTGCGCATTTGAAGGTGACAGGCCTTTTGTATAAATGGGCTTTGGTCGGTTAATTATTCGACCAGTAGAAAGAATCAAAGATTACTTGCAGCATTGAAGGCTTACTTTGCAGCATTGAAGGCGGTTGGGGGTTTATTTCATAAGGATTTGGCTAAAATGTTGTAAAAAATTGGCACCGTTATAATCAAATTATCTTAAAAGCAACAACATTTTGATAAAAACGTGCAATCAATCCACAATCACAAAGTAAAGTCAATCATTCTGAATAAACATTCCTGCACAAGTTGAAAAAAAATTCCAACCCATTGTACCCTAACCAACATGTATCTGATATGATATTGTCACATAGCATATGGATCCATAGCACGAACAAGATTTTGAAGAAAAATAGAGAGAAGATGCCATATTCATCAACATTATGAACCTATTGAGTATGAAAATGAGGGATTAAAACAGGGTTCTAAATGATACATGATATGTAATAAAGAACACGCTCATTGAAGACAGGCACCAAATGTATGTCAGAAACCTAGCAAAAACACATCTTGGCCAGTAAATCTAATCCTTCTTCTTTTCCTTTAATGGTCCCCTCGGAATCTTACTTAGAACCTTTGCATCAAACACTGCATACTGCTTCTTGATCTCATGCATTGCTTTCTCAGCAAATGGATCCACCTTGTCCTCGTATTTCTCATACAGCACAGGTACAGTGTGAAGTAGTACGAAGACTGTTTTGCAAGACCATTAAAACAAAATCAGGAAACCAAAATGTTTTAGGAAAAACCAAAAGATATCATCTCAATGGAACTCCAATACCTATGTAGAATAGTGTCAAGAAGTTGCACCAACTTCCCACAATAGACAAGACCCACAAGCCCGCGATCACCTAAACGATAACAATCGAATGAACATCCTCGTATGAATAAAATGATCAGGAAATGATAAACCATGTAACATTGTATCCCTATCTTAATTGCATATGATCAACCAAAAAAAAATAACTTTTTGGTGCAAGTAAACTACATACAGATAGGAACTTCTTGAGATCTCTTCCTGATGCAATATCCCGCAGGACAGCAAAAGCCCGGTTAATCTCAAACCTAAGTGCTTGTGCAAACTCTATAACCGGGTCCTTTGGAATTTGAACTTCATGGATATGTGGTGGAGACCTATCCGAAACAATGTAACATAAGCGCAAGTAAAAAGAAAACCGAGCCCAAAGTTAACCCAAAAAGTAGAAAAAATAATTTAGGCTGCCTACTTGCTGATGAAGGTAGTAGCATTTGACCACAAGAAGAGTAGCGCAAGGGCAAGTATCAACAAGTGACACACTAGAGTGAGAAGGTAGTATTCGAGCAATTCAAACAAAACCCATATCACAGTTGCCACACCAAGAGCTCCTGCTGATATCTTTTGTTCCTCCATAGGAAAATGTCAGCCGCTGTTACACATACATCCGGTTCACAACGTCAGTATGCATCAATCATCATCAACAAATTACGCTAAAATGGTAATAATTGCTGATAATACTGACTTAACAATACCACATTATTATCATAGGTAAAGGTTATTGATTATGAATACTACTACGTTCTCAAACTTTTAAGAAAACAAGATAATCTCAGAAAATGCCACTAATTTTTATCTGAAGATCTAGAACTAATTGCATCAGTTCAGTTGAAGATCTAGAAATGCCCTAATTTTATTTTCAAGCTAAAACAAATAATTAACAGATCAAAACATAATCAAGCTCAAACAACATCGATTAATTAAAATTGAAAGCTCAGGAATTAAAAAAAAACTGAACAGTGAAGCATTTCCCAACAGAACCTGCATCAATAATGCTAATTCATCAACAATGGCACCGGTGTCTGTATTTCCCTTAACAGACATAGTCCAGGCTTTTTACTAGAGACTGGTGTTAACAGAAAAGCCTGATACTAAAGAGAAACAATTCTAACTTTGTAAGCAAGAGTCATACTTCATAGCACAGCCTTAACAATTTTTTGTAAAAAAAAAAAAATTGAAAATAAAGAAACGGGATTTTGTTAGATACGTTTGCCTCCACCGAGAACGTGGTGAACGGGCTTTTCTCGTCCAAAGAGACGGAAGACCTTGGCCTTGATCAACGATTCTGATGGCTTGTCATCATCGGAATCTGAAGACGAATCGTGGCCGTGGATCTTCTCTGCTATCTTCTCCATCAACGATTCCTCGTGCTTCTTCTCTTCGTGGTCGGCATTTTTGAAGATCCAAAGAAAAAGAAAAGACCCGAGAGAAATGAAGAATCGGAGCGTTCTTTCTTATGCGGCTAAACAAAGAGCTTACGCGCTAGATTTAAGCAGGAGTACTAAATGGAAGGTTTTGATCTGGACCGTCGATAGGTTCGAGAAAAAATATAAATGAACGGGAATTACGTTTTAACAGGCTCGAGGACCTTGGCGATTTGATGTGGACGGTGAATGACACAACCAAACCATTATTAAGCCGACACGTGGAATTGATATGTAATAAAATGTAGAGCTTTGCAAAAACTAAAATAAAATTACTTTTACAATGAGAGGCCTTAACAGTAACAGTAACAGTAACAGTAACAGTAATAGCAAAAGAGATATATTCGTTTATATACAAGTATAGACCGTAAAATGTTACATGGTCTTAAAATTTAAGAAGATAAAATAACCTCAGTGATAAAAAATATTTTATAATATATGATTTTAATCAATTTTTTTTAGATTTGTCAAAATGACCAACTAAATCGCAATGCAATCGATAATTCACAACGCGATCTCCGGTATCGCAAATCAGTTTCCAGATTCGCAACGCGAACTTCGACTATCGCATTGCGATTTTACATATTCGTATTGCGATAGTCCAAGTTCGCGTTGCGATAGTCGAAGTTCGCGTTGCGATTTATTCCAAATTCGTTGCGATTTATTCCAAATTCGTTGCGATAGTCGAAGTACGTGTTGCGATTTATTCCAAATTCGTTGCGATTTATTCCAAATTCATTGCGATAGTCCAAGTTCGTTGCGATAGTCGAAGTTCGCGTTGTAATTTATTTCAAATTCGTTGCGATAGTCCAAAATCGCAACGACGGTATTGCATTTGTTTCTTAAGAATTTTCTCTAAAAAGATAGTATTCGCGCGGACGTGTCGAAGACACGTATTACCACGACCACGACCACGACCACGAGACGGGACGGCGGCGGCGCGCGAGAGTCCCCTTGTTCTCTATCACTCAACAAGAAAGTGGGAAAGTCAAGCCTTAAATGCCATTCCCAATAGTGTTTCCAATACTATGTGGGATTGAGCATTATCAACACTTGTTCCCAATACTATGTGAGATTGAGCCTTAAATAGTAATATTATTTTTGAATGTTTTGCTTAAAATTGCAATAATCGCGATTGATTGTAGATTGACTTTTAATTATGACATATTTAATCGTATAATACTAATGCAATTGGTTGCTGATTCAGTTGTTTTAAGGTGTATGATTGTTAATTGTTTCCTGAATAATCACATTGTATTGAAAACAAGTGTTGGTAATGCTCAATCCCACATAGTATTGGAAACACTAATGGGAATGGTATTTAAGGCTTGGCTTTCCCACTTCCTTGTTGAGTGATAGAGAACAAGGGGGACTCTCGCGCGACGCTGCCGCCGCCGTCCGTCTCGTCTCGTCTCGTCTGTTCTCGTGGTCGTGGTCGTGGTCGTGGTCGTGGTAATACGTGTCTTCGACACGTCCGCGCGAATACTATCTTTTTAGAGAAAATTCTTAAGAAACAAATGCAATACCACCAGTCGTTGCGATTTTGGACTATCGCAACGAATTTGGAATAAATCGCAACGCGAACTTCGACTATCGCAACGCGAATATGTAAATCGCAATGCGATAGTCTAAGTTCGCGTTGCGATAGTCGAATTTGGAAAAATCGCAACGCGAACTTGGACTATCGCAATGCGAATATGTAAATCGCAATGCGATAGTCGAATTTGGAAAATTGTAACGCGAACTTCGACTATCGCAATGCGAACTTGGACTATCGCAATGCGAATATGTAAATCGCAATGCGATAGTCGAATTTGGAAAATTGCAACGCGAACTTCGACTATCGCAATGCGAACTTGGACTATCACAATGCGAACTTGGACTATCGCAATGCGAATATGTAAATCGCAATGCGATAGTCGAATTTGGAAAATCGCAACGCGAACTTCGACTATCGCAATGCGAACTTGGACTATCGCAATGCGAACTTGGACTATCGCAATGCGAATATGTAAATCGCAATGCGATAGTCGAAGTTTGCGTTGCGAATCTGGAAACTGATTTGCGATACCGGAGATCGCGTTGCGAATTATCGATCGCATTGCGATTTAGTTGGTCATTTTGGCAAATAAAAAAAAATTGGTTAAAATCGTATATTATAAGGCATTTTTAGTCACTGAGATTATTTTCTCATATATGTCTATAATCTTTGTATTTTAATGATATTTTCGTTTGAAGAAAAAATAAATTTTTTGTTTGATTCTCGAAAAAATGGCGGAGAAAGTTGCAAACAGAGATAATGACAGTATCTTTAACCGTTTTTCATGATGAAGTTTAATAAAAAAAACCTCATAGATTCCTCATAATTTCAAATTTAACAAATTTAACTCTTATTATAAAATATTTTAAGATTATTATTTTAAAAAGTAACACAAGACATACACATCATTTGGGACGGACTTGCAAAAGGGAACGTTGTTCTCTTTAAAAATCTTAAATTCGAGCAGTTATGTCTGAATAGTATATATGTTGTAAATAAATTAAAAAAATAAACATATATTACTACCTATAAACACTACATACTAATAAAATTACCCATACATTGTTTCTTAAAAATATCATTTAAAACAAAGAAAGAAATCTACATGTTTCTAGGAAGTGATTATTAATGAAATCGACTTTTACATGGTTGTTAGAACATCATTGTGGGGCTACCAAATTTAATTATTATTTGTAGACAAAAGAACAAGTTAAAAATTTCATGAAATTGAACATTTAATTTAATTGCATGAAGCATGCATGCATCGTTTGTCTCATGGGGCCCGATGAAGAACCAATATCCTTTCTCCAAATGAAAGCTAACAAAAAATGCAAACAGGAGACAAAGATGAGATGATAAAAAAGGCATCAAAATGTGTAAAACATCAACATTGAAATGTCCAATTTCTTTAGAAGATTACTTTGTCTAAGATTTAAATTATTTAAAAGGGAAAAAATAGATTATTAGTCATGATGTTGATGACCCTACTTCCAGCTTCTATATGACAAAGCCTTGATCATGGTTCATCGGTACAACTACTCCAAGCAAGTAAAATGTGAGACAGGGTATCCTTTCCCAGCTTCCAACTAATCAAGAAACGGATTGACCATATTCCAGAGTTTTTTTTATGGGAATTAAAGTTCTTTAGTGCATGATAAAGTTGCTTCGGTTCTAAGAGAGTTAAGAATTTTGGTTTGTAGTTGTACTCTAGCAGCCTGTGGATTAGAAAACCAAGTGGTTTGGGCCAAAGGAGAAAATGATACTCTTGTTTAGGGACCAACCGGCTAAATCTGCAACTTGATTCATTGTTAAAGGAATTAAAGGGCAAAATGATCATTTGACTTATAAATGGATAAGATAAGAATATATATATATATAATATATATATATATATATATATATATATATATATATATATATTATATATATATATATATATATAATATATATGGGGATAAGGTTGAAAGATTTCTTCAGAAATCTCTTCCTTCTTCTTTCTCCACCGTGAACCCAAGGGAGCAAAGGTGAGTTTCTTGTTAGCTGATTATTGTTGATTTTAAGATTGAGTTTTGATCCTTAGGTGATACTTAAGCTTAAGGAAAGCTTAAGTTGTCTTATAATCAAAAGATGAAGAAGTTATGAGAGATTAAAGATAAGAAGTTTCTAAAGGAATTTCTGAAAAATAGTTGATAAAAGAACTTTGAGATAGAATTTGACTTGTCATCAACTAAATTAAGAGATATGAGTAATATAATTGTATTTAGAACATCTTGAAAATTTGGTATGATTATTAATTTCTATATAGAGAATAGGATTTGAGGTTTAAGATGTGATAAATAAGTATAAATTGGTTTAAGAATATGTATGTGAGTTAGGAACATGAAATGGTAGGAAACATGAAGTGTTGAAGCTGAAAAAGTGAATTTTCGTGCTTAAAATACAATTTCTGGGCAAGGTGTATTGGTACATTCAACATGTACCGATACACTCTTAAATGAAAAAACATCGAATACAATAAGTGTATCGATACACAATCAGTGTATCGATATTCATTTTAAACGAAAATTTCGAAGCTAATTTGGGTACTGATACCCCATAGTGTACCGATACCCCTCAAGGAAAAAGTAAATGTTGATTCATTAAATTAGCTTAAATTATTAACATTAAGTTATAAGGTTTAAGTTTCTGATAAATGTTTCAGAAATTATGTTTATGTAGATATTGAGTCTAAACGAGTTCCGGAACAATTGACAAGTAAGATTGATCGAGGGAAAGACAAGGAGATATAGGTGAGTGCAATTTAATTTGTACTTATGTTATTGATCAAACATTGGCTTGCGATGAGCCAATGACGAAGTTACTATGGTAAGAAGTAACTTCTAAAATGTTATGTGATATATGTTATATGATATGAGATAGATGGTTATACGTACATGTGGTATGTGACAAAAGAGAAGAAATATGTGATCATAGAGCAATGATATGAATCATAATGATAGTGCCCCATGTTATGTGATATGAGAGCTAGGGGTAGTTGGCATGCCAAGAGTAGATGGTTACCTATGTTCTTCAGGACATTGGACTGATTATCTATGTTCTTCGAAACATATGGACTGGTCCTTCGGGACATTTATACGAGCTGTGGTGACAGCATATGTGTGCACAACCAGTGTACTCACATACCTTGAGTTCTCAATAATGTACATGGGCAACCAAAGATAAATTGAAGTGAAATGGCATAAGAAGATAAGTTTTATATGTGCATAACATGATCATATATAATATAGTGTAATAGATACATGCAAGTTGAACAGTCATGATCAAATGGTAAGAGTGCATGTTTCATGAATTCAGTATTATTATATTTTATGCCTCACTAAGTCTATGACTTAGCGTGTAAGTGATTTATATGTAGGTACTGAGAAGGGGGATCAAAGCTAAGTTCAAACGAACAACATCTCCGCTCAAAGATCAGATCAG